CTGCAGTGGCCGGGAGCGGCCACTGCACTCCAGTCTGGGCGACTCAGTGAGACTCCAACTCAAAAAGAAAAAATGTTCACTGAAATACATTCTTTCAATTTTCTCATTTCTGATTCCCTCCTATTTTCTTAATTTATTCAGCTCTAACTTCACTTCTTACTATTTTCTCTCCATTTTGTCATGAGTTTCTGAATGTTTTATTTTCATAACCTCCAATGCTTATTATAGGTGACTGAACTCAAACCAAAGCGTGATCTGCTTCATGACAGACATTTACAGTGAAGGGAGTTTCATCAACTGAAATGTTTCAGTCTCATATTGTGTTTTCTCCTTATTGTAGCTCTACATACATGAAAACTATTTGTATCTGCGTTTTGTGGACAGTGTTGGCAGTTTGGGGTGGTAAGATTCTTAGTTCAAGTGCACCCTCTTCTGTCAGAATAGTAAGGTGCAGTTTAGTTAATGAGTGCCTCAATTTTAGGGAGGAGGCCAGGCGAGGTGGACCATGCCTGTAATCTCAATACTTTGGGAGGCCCAGGCGGGAGGATCACTTGAGCCCAGGAATTTGAGACTAGCTTGGGCAACATAGTGAGACCCTGTCTCGACAAAAAAATGTTTAAGATTAGCCCAGCATGGTGGTGCTCGCCTACAGTCCCAGCTATGAGGGAGTTAAGGCAGAAGGATTGCTTGAACCCAGGTAGTCATCTGTGGTGAGCCATGATTGTGCCACTGCACCCCAGCCTGGGCAAGAGAGTGAGCCTCTGACTTAAAAAGCAAAAATAAAAAAGAGAATTAATAGAAAAGAATTACAAAGAATAAGAGCTGCCAGACAATAAAGGTAAAAAAGCAGCAGTGTGGCCAGGCGCGATGGCTCAACCTGAAACCCCAGCACTCTGGGAGGCCAAGGTGAGGGGACTGCCTGAGCCCGCGGGTTCGAGAACAGCCTGGGCCACTTGGCACAACATCTCTACAAGAAATCAAAAAATGAGCCGGGCGTGGAGGTGCGCTCCTGTAATTCCAGCTACTTGGAAGGCTGAGGCGGAAGGATCACCTGAGTCCAGCAGGGCAACGCTGGGGTGGCTGTGAGAGTGCCACTGTACTCCAGCCTGGGTGATGGAGTGAGACTCCAACCCCCCCCCCAAAAAAAGTAGCAGGGCACAAAATTGATAAACAGAATCAAGAGCTGTCAGCCCGCGGGTTCGAGACCTGCCTGGGCAGCGAGACCTCATCTCTACAATAAATCAAAAAATCAGCCGGGCGTGGTAGCGCACGCCTGTAATTCCGGCTACTCGGAAGGCTGAGGCGGAAGGATCGCCGGAGCCCAGCAGGTCGAGGCTGTGGTAGCCGGGAGCGGCCGCTGCACTCCAGTCTGGGCGACCGAGTGAGACTCCAACTCAAAAAAAAAAAAAAAATTAGGACAAGATGACAGAGCAGAAAGCCCAGGACTCCGCCTCCCCCAGACAACACCACACTGGCAGAATCTGTGTGACATGACTGTTTTGAAACTGTGGCATCTGTTGAAGGCTTGCAACTTCCAGGGGAAGGGCTGGACTGAAAGCTGCCATTAATTTCAGCTCTTAGCAAGGCAGCAACTACCCATCCCCGCCCCCCACGCCCCAGCCCTGTGCCAGGCAGTCCTGCAAATATCCCAGAGCAGCTCAGCAGCCTGCAGGAGCCAGGTGAGCAACCAAGGACCCTGGGACTCTGTGCTTGGATCACTGATTGCTGGTTCTGATCACAGTGCAGGCAAAGAGAGGGGTAGTCCACTGCCCCTTGAGATGAAGTGACTTCCAGGAAATGTAAAGAGTCGACACCTTTTTTTCCCCTTCATTTTTCCTTTTTCCACTTCTAGGTTCCAGACATTAATAATTGAGACACTCAAGGCTGGGTGAGGTGGCTCACACCTATAACCCCAGCACTTTGCGAGGCTGAGTTGAGAGGCCTGCTTGAGCCCAGGCGTTCAGGACCAGCCGTAAAGTGAGACCGCATCTCCCCAAAAAAAAAAAAAAAAAAAAAATCAAAAAATTAGCCAGGTGTGGCATACACCTGTAGTTCCAGCTACTAGGAGGCTGAGGTGGAAGGATCACCTGAGTCCAGGAGGTCAAGGCTGTGGTGAACTGTGATCATGCCACTGCACTCCAGCCTGCGAGACAGAGTGAGACTCTGACTCAGAAAAAATAAAAACAACAACTAGGAAAGTAGGACACTCAAAAGTAGCCATACATACAGGGAAAGTAAGAAAGTGAGTGTGCATGCCCCTGCCAAGGCTCGAAAGAGACCCAAGGAACCCCTTAGGGGCTCGCCGCAGGCTAATCCTTGGCACAGATAGAATTAAAAAAACAACAAAAACAGCCAGCCCTAGGGAAGGGGGGAGCCTGATTCTAGTTACCACAGAACCATCTCTGTCGGTAATGCAAGGCTGAGAGCACCATGCGTGTGAGGACGACAAGGCCAACAGAGATGTCCTCGTCTGCCTGATGCTGTCCCCTTTACTTAAGATCAGAAATCTGCTGCACCAGACCTGCACCTCACACCCTAGCCTCATTGCAGGACGCCTGTGTACTCTCTTTTCTCTGGAAAGACAAAATGCCTTCTGTGCACAGGGCCACCAACAAAGGTGCCCAACAAGAATCACTCTGGGGACGAGGCTCCCAACCCATGCACGTCAGAGGGCCTGCTAAAGACCCTGGACTCCACTGGCCCAGCGGGCTACTCCTCCCTCGAACCCTCAGGTCTACCTGTCACCAGTGTGTCCACAGACAGTCGGCCCTTCCCGAATGTACTGCTCAGTGCCACTGGCCTATGCCCTCCCCATCCCCCCCTGACTTCAAGGCCAGTGGTCCAACACTTCCTCACGGGGCCAAAGACCAATGTCTGAATGTGGCCGACTAGGGCAGGCAAGACGGACAAACACGACACTTACAGAGTGTATGATGTCCAGCATGTCGTAGGCCTTGGTCGATTCCAGTGGGACAATTGTGTCAAGCTCAGGAACCAAACGGTCACTTGGGGTAGGAAGAAAGCAGACAGTCAACACAGGAAGAGTCGGTTATCTTTTGCAAATGGGGGAGGGGAAGGAGATGGGAGAGACACGTCACGGGGACTGAGCCAGTTCTGTCCTCTCTGGGCTTGTGAAGCGGACATCAAAGATTCATTGCCTGGTAACCAGCATATTAAACTGACCCTGAGCCTGATGCCAACCCAAGAGACCGTCCGGCTTCCTTTAGATGAAAAAAATAAGCGTATTCCTTCAAACATCACCCTTTCGTGAATCCCCTCACACCTCCTACGTTTGAGGAATTGCATGGGGCATTAAAGAGCACTGTGGTGAGTAAGACACAGGCCTGGGAGATCCCCATCAAACTTCCCGGAACATTAAAAACCAAAGAACAAGAATCTGGAGACACGAAGCCAGAGTTCTGCAGAAACCACTCTGTGGGAAGGCTAGCCGGTCAGCACTCCTCTGGAAAGCCAAACTGCAGGCCCTCTGGGAAGAATCAACGCCAGCTCTACGGTCCCATGCGGGCTCGTGACTCTCTCCCCACGCCTGCGTGGAGGTGGCCCAGCAGGGAAGCCAAGTCATAGCCCACGCCTGCCCCTGCCAACAGGCTCCCATCCCTTCCCGTCCCATGTGGGAGGCCACGGACTGCTCGGGTCCTGAGAGGCACAGCTGGGTGAGGCTTGTCCTTGAGCTGGTCACAGGCCCAGTTTCCCCGAAAACTCTACACTGGGGGACCGGGCACAGCCTCAACTGATGCAAAGTCCTCCCCGCTTTTCATTTCACACGCACACACACAGACACCCCCTTGCTTGGAGCTGTATGCAGAGGACAAAACGTCTAACCCGAAACAGGCTATTCCGACACTTGCGGGTGCCCGGCCCATCGCACGACATCCTAGCCCTTCAAGGACACCAGACGTACACTCACGCAAGAAGGCTGTCCCCGCAGCTTCTGGGCCTCGTGACCACACTCCCCTCCATCACCACACACCGTGGCCATGGGCCGTGTCCCCTGAGAAGCTGGGGACAGGCAGAATGAGGCCCTGGGGACACGACTCTCCAGCGAAGCCCCAGCCCAGACAGGCCCTTAGGAAGGAGCCCGGGCCCGAGCCACAGAGTCGTGTCTGAAGAAGGCCTCTTCCTGATGCAGACAACTTCAAATCCCTTCTGCAGAAGGTGCACGCCAGGCCAGGCGAGCGCTTCTGACTCAGAGAGGAAACAACACGGTTCAGCCAGAGGTGTGGAGCAGCCCACAGGCTGGGCCTTGCCTCGACCCTGGGACACCGGCGTCAGGCAGCAGACGCCGCAGCAAGAGGAAAGAGGTCCTCACCGGAAGGCCCGCGCCGCGGCCTCTCCAGGCCCACCCCAGCCTCTGCTGCCAGCAGTAGACAGAAAGGCGCTCCCGAGGGCATGCTGTCTGCATCACTCCTCATCTGTTTGTTTCGAAGGGACAACCGCGCTACGTGCAGAAACTAGACAGTCTCTTTAGGCAGAAAAAAGGCAGACACAGCTAATGTGGGAAGAGCCAACTTTAGAGGGTAGTGGTGGGAAAGAAGATGGAGACCTGTCATGGGGACAGGGCAGACGCAGAAAAGCTTCCATCTCCAATTCTGGACGACCCCAGAGTCTCTTAGAAACTCTTCTGGGGCCACTCTTGACCCCCAAGCCATCCGACATCACGAGAGGAAAGGAGATGCAAAACCGTCTTTCTCCGCTCCCGAACCCAGACAAACCTCATCACCCCCACACCTGGGGCCACACGTTCCACACTCCACCATCTGCTCCAACCACCCAACAGGGCAGACCCTGGAGTCTCGTCAGGGCAAGGGGGCCGGAGAAAGGCGCACGACCCTACGGAGCGAGAGAAGGGGCACCAGCCTGCAACCCACCTGGGATCGTGGCACTCGCGGACCGGAGCCGGGTCCTGGCTGCTGAGGGGCAGGTAGTTGAAGAACTCCCGCAGGTTACACAAGGCGTCGACGTCGTTCTCAAAAGCTCTGTGGGCCACACCTGAGGCGACAGGGAGGAACGGGCCAGCGGCCGGTCAGCCCATGGGCGTGCGTCCTGCCCGATGGACATCCTCCCCTCCTTCCAGGGCGTGGCTGCAGCAGGCTGGTCGCCGGCTCTGTCTCGGCACCCTCCACGGGAATCCCACGCCGCACACCACACACCTTTGGGCAGATCCTCCTATCCACACAGACTGCTCCCTCTGCTCTGTACCCAACCCTGCAGGGGCCACACATTTCTGTGTGTGTGTGTGTGTGTGTGTGTGTGTGTGTGTGTGTGTGTTTGTTGGGGTCCCATGCGGTCACCCAGGCTGGAGTCCTAGCACGCTCACGGCCGCTGTAATCTCAATCTGCTGGGCTCAGGCAATCCTCCCGTCTCAGCCTTCCAAGTAGCTGTAACTACCGGTGTGCCTAATTTTTTGATTTATTGTAGAGATGAGGTCTCGCCAAGTTGCCCAGGCTGATCTCGAACCCCTGGATTCAAGCAATCCTCTCGTCTCTGCCTCCAAAGTGCTGGGATAATAGGTGTGAGCCACCACACCCAGCTAAATACTTCCTACTCTTACATTTTTTTTTTTGAGTTGGAGTCTCACTCTCTCACCTAAGCTGGAGTGCAGTGGCATGCTCATGGCCACCACAGCCTCCACCTGCTGGGCTGAGGCAATCCTCCCCACTCAGCCATCCAAGTAGCTGGAACCACAGGTATATGCCACAATGCCCAGCTAACTTTTTTTTGATTTATTGTAGAGACGAGGTCTCACCAAGTTGCCCAGACGGGTCTCGAACCCTTGGGTTCAGGCAGTCCTCTCGCCTCCGCCCCCTGAAGTGCTGGGATCACAGGTGTGAACCACTACCGGCGTTCTTTATCCAGGTCTTGCTCTCATATCCCCTCTGCCCCCAGCCCCACAGTCCTCGCGCCCGCCGCGCCTCCCCGTGCAGCTCCTGTCTGTTTCCCTGTGTCATGCCTGACGGCTCTCCCGGAATATCAGCTCCAGCCGTAAGACAGGCCTGTCCAGCAACACAGCTCCCCTGAGAATAATGCCCGGCCCAAAACAGGGGCTCGGTCAAGGCAGAGGCAAGGGGGACTGCCTGGTCCTCATAAGGGATCAAGCCATTGTTCCTGAAGAGAATTCTGGAATCACTGACCAGCCAAACACGGCCACAGATATGATGGAGAAAGGGCAGCCAAGAACTCCCTGTCAGGTGCACTCCACCACACTCTCTGCTTCCGCCACGGCCCGACAGTCTGTGGCCCACACTGCCGCCAGTGGGAGCTTTTAAAGCCAGATCACAGCCCATCTCTACCCAGCAAACAACGCTCCTTGTTCACGGAGCATGCCAGGCACTCGTTCGCCTCAGGGCCTGTGCACAAGCTCTTCCCTCCACCCGCAATGCTCACTTCCTATCAGGGCAGCTCACCCCTTCGACCTGCTCTGACGTTCACCTCAGTGAGGCTTGCCCTGACCACCCAATCCGAAACCACAACAATCCCAATCTCCTCTACCGCGTTCTTCCTCCACAGCAAATATTACCTCCGAACAGACTAGATAACACATTTATGTATCATGTGTATTGTTTATTGTCTGTCTCCTCTACTAGGATACAGGCCCCTATGAGCCAGGGTCTTTGATTTCTTCTGTCCACATTTGCATTCTTAGCTCCTAGAACAAGGCTCCACACATATCTACTCAATGAGTATTTGTTGAATGAAAAAAAACATTTCCAACATGACAGAATTCTTTCACTCAAGAAGTATTTAAAAATTGGTATAACCACTTTGGAAGAGAGTCTGGCAGTTCCTCAAAAAGTTAAACCAAGAGTTATCTTTTAACCCAGAAATCTCAGACCTAGGTATATACCAATAGAAGTGAAAATATATATCCACACACAAGGTTTGTACAAAAGGGTTTACAGCAGCATATTTATGACAGCCACAAAGTACAAACAACCCAAATGTCTATTACACTGGTCAGTGGATAACTGAAATGGGATGCAGCCATACAGTGGAATATTATTCAGCCATAAAAAGGAATGGGGTGCTGATGTGTGGAACGTGGATGACCCTTAAGAAAAATCATTCTAAGTCAAAGCGACCAGTCACAAAAGACCACCTGTTGTATTTATGTATGTACTTATATGTCTATTCCACGTATATGAAATGCCCAGAAAGGGAAAATCCACGGAGAGGAGGAAAGCAGACCAGCAACCCACCTAGAGCGAGAGTGTTTGTGGTGAAATGGGGAGGAACTGCTCGCGGGCTCAGGGTTTCTTCTTGGGGTGATGAAAATATCCTAAAATTGGTTATGGTAATGGTTACAGAACCCCGAACATGTTAAAACCATGGAATTGTACGTTATAAATAAACATCTAAAGTGTAAGATATGTGAATTACAGCTCAATAAAACTATTCCCAAAAAGAAAAAAGAAAAATATATGTATAGAACACCTTTTGGGCCGGGTGTGACAGCTCAAGCCTGTAATCCTAGCACTTTGGGAGTCGGACGTGAGAGAATTGCCTGAGCCCACAGGTTCGAGACCAGCCTGGGCAACATGACCAGACCTAGTCTCTACAATAAATCAAAAAACTGACCAATAAATCAAAATTGGTGGCACACGCCTGTGGTTCCAGCTACTTGGAAGGCTGAAACAGAAGGATCACCGGAGCCCTGCAGGTTGAGGCTACAATAGCCACGACTGTGCCACCGCACTCCAGCCTGGGCAACAGAGTGAGATTCCAACTCAAACAAAAAACCCAACAATACTTTTGGTGCCTTGCTTAGGGGATTCAGGACCAAGCATGTCAGTCACAGCCCATCAGAGAGTCTCAGGCCCAAAAAGAACACCACATATGACCTTTTAAAAAAGGCTAAAACTATGCTACAGAAGAAAATTTTGTCATGGGCAGACAGTCATTATTTTTAAGCTGTCAAGTAAAAACCCAGGTTGCAGAAGAGTACGTTGTGTACACACCAATGTCTTCATACCCATTTGCATGAAAAGACTGTAAAGGAATAACCCAAAAAATCCGTGGTGATTACTGTGGATGATTGAATTCCTCATGATTTTAACTCCTTGTATTTTTTTAATTTTCTACCACAAACATATAATACTATTGAAATAGGGAGGAAAATAGCATATTGCATCAAATCTAAGATGCCACCAAGAAACAACTTTACAGTACATCCCAGAAAGAAAGGCAAGCTGCTGCCAAGGAAGCCCCGAGACCAGAGCGCAGGGGCGGGGCGGGGTCAGAGCCGAGGGTGTGACTGGGGAGGTGTCCGGGAGATGGGGCTGACGGAGCCCTGGGGAGCGAAAGGAACGGGCCGAGGCCGGTGCCAGCCTGAGCCAGGGAGGAAGAAGTTTTGTGGGAGCGGAGTCAAGAGCTCTGAACTTTTGGAGACCATAGTTCATCAAATCTAAGACTTCACCGATAAAACACACCTCTATTTTACGAGCACCGAGAAGAAATGCTGACAATTAAATGATGACCCAGTGCCTTCACCACGTACAACATGGTGCATAAACCAGTCATGCCTGCCTCTTACTGCGGCGACATCTCTCAGAGGTGGTTTCTCCTGTCTTCAGCTACACTGCCAGCTATGTCGGAGGCAACTCTTTCACAGCCTGGTGGTTCCTTCCAAGAAAACGTGGAACTGCCATCATTACGCCAGCAGCTAACACATCTTCACTAATATCAGAATTAGGCTCTACTCCCAATTCTGTGACTGTCTGTATAATCGAGAACTTTCTGTTTCAGTGTTGAAGCACAGAATAATCTTTATACACTGGACACTCAGCATGTGAGGCATGCAGTCTTAAAGGGGTGAAGATCTATAACCAAATGTGTGAACACATAGTTCATGAGCATCACATCAAGACTGCACTTGGCCAATGGTGCCTGGTAAAACACTATCTACTCTAAGATATATACACCAGCTTTGCAAGAAAAAAAGTCACAATAAGATACTATATTTTTTCAACAGGGTGCCTGAATGAAACATAATTGTACACCTAACCCTTAACTGTACCCCACAAAACCATAATAAAAAATATTGATTAATAAAAAAAGATACTATATTTTTTAAAGGTTCATTTGTACATACATAAACCACACCTGCCTATAACCACCATTTCGACAATTAGCTTTAAAACTGCTTTAAAAACACTAAAGCATGAATAATAATTAATAATTAATTGATGTAATAAATTTGAGATCCTACATCTCCTTTGTCACTATATCTACAGGTAACACCTTGTATTGTATTGCAGTGCAATATGCTATACTACAATCTTCCCAAATAAGTTCTGCCACGTAAGTGATATTTTTAAACAACTGCAGCCATTCTCCCTGACAACGCCCACTTCTCAATGTCTGGCAACAGCAAGCTCATCATTGAAGTCTCTCACCTGACATGGTGGTGTGGGTCTTGGCACCACCAAGCTCCTCCTGGGTAACATCCTCATTGGTGACAGACTTCACAACGTCAGGACCAGTAATGAACAGGTAGGAGGTGTCCTGAAACCAAAGGTTTTCAGAACGGTCAATTGCAGAGCACAAGAGCTGGTCAGAGCCTTGGAGTTCCTCAACCAAGACAACAAGTGCAGAGAAGACAGTGAGTGACCTGGTGGCAGAACCAGGCCTGGGAGGCCACTCAGAAGACACCCATCCAGACCAAAGACTTGAGTTTTCCCTGTCTCGCTATTAAAAAAAAAAAAAAAAAAAAAAAAGCCAGGCACAGTAGCCCACATCTGTAATTCCAGCACTTTGGGAAGTGGAGGTGAGCGGACGGCCTGAGTCCAGGGGTCTGAGATCAGTCTGGGCAAATTGGTGAGACCTTGTCTCTACAATACATCCAAAAATAGCCAGGTGTGGTGGTGTATGCCTATAGTTCCAGCTACTTGGAAGGCTGAGACGGAAGGATCGCCTGAGCTCAGCAGATCAAGGTTGTGGTGGCCTTGAGCTTGCCACTGCACTCCAGCCTGGGCAACAGAGACTCCGACTCAAAACAAACAAACAAAAAACATCTTTGCTGTATGATTCCATCTCAGCAAGTTGACTTGCAGTGTGTCTAACACTTCCAGGTGATTCACCTGTAGAACACAATAGCAGGTGGTCCTTCCTCAGAGCTTGCTGTGCACCAAGCACTTTTCTAAGCACTTCACAGGACTCTGTCATTAAAGGCTAAGTACTACGGTCGCTTCTTATGGGAACACTGAAACATGGACTTGGTGTGTAACTAACCACTTCAAGTGAAGCTACTTAAAGATATTGATAAACCAACACTTTGGTGATATGAGAGGGTGATACTCTTAATTTTTGGTTTCAAAGTTATATATGGGTATACTTGAGCAGGTTATCAAATTAACATCACTAGTAAGGGCAGATGGGCATCACTTGTCTCCAGATGTGATTATCTGAGGAGGATTCAACATCAACTCATATAGTTGACAGGCAGGGAATACCTACCCTGAATTTAACCCTGAGGAAACAGATAAACCCATTCCAAGGAACAAAATCATTAACTTTGCAACCTTCAAAAACGTCGATATCATCACAAAGTCTGAGGAATTGTTTTAAATTAAAGAATACCAAGAGCTATGACGACTAAATGTAGTATGTGATCCTGAAACAGATCCTGTACTGAGGGAAAAAATAATGTCAATAAAGGACATTATTGAATCAGCTGACCAAACCGCAATATGGAAGGTAGAGAGACCATGTGTCATGCCACAAGTCCGAATAAATTTTAAAAGACTGACATCAATCACAGTGGAATGAAACTAGAAATAAACAGCAGAAATAAAAACTAGAAAATTCACAAATATGTGGAATTTTAAACTTTTAAACAATTAGTCAAAGAAAAAATCACAAGGAAAATTAGAAAATATCTGGAGAAGCCGGGCTTGGTGGCTCAGCCTATAATCCCGCGCCTTTGGAAGGCTGAGGTAAGTGAATTGCCTGAGCCCGCGGGTTCGAGACCCGCCTGGGCAGCGTAGATCTCTCCTCTACAATAAATTTAAAAAATCAGCCAGGCGTGGTAGCGCACGCCTGTAGTTCCAGCTACTCGGAAGGCTGAGGCGGAAGGATCACTGGAGCCCAGCAGGTTGCGGTGGCCGGGAGCGGCCACTGCACTCCACTCTGGGTGATAGAGTGAGACTCCAACTCAAAAAAAAAAAAAACAAAGCTGGGCTTGGTGGCTAAGCCTGTAATCCCATGCCTTTGGGAGGCTGGGGTGAGTGGATTGCCTGAGCCCGCAGGTTCGAGACCCACCTGGACAGCGAGACCTCATCTCTACAATAAATCAAAAAATCAGCCGGGCGTGGTAGCAAGTGCCTGTAATTCTGGCTACTTGGAAGGCTGAGGCAGAAAGATTGCCGGAGCCCAGCAGGGTGAGGCTGCAGTGGCCAGGAGCGGCCACTGCACTCCAGTCTGGGCAACACAGTGAGACTCCAACTCAAAAAAAAAAAAAAAAAAAAATTTAGCTGGGCATGGTAGCTCATGCCTATAGTTCTGGCTACTTGGAAGGATGAAGTGGAAGGATCACCTGAGCCCAGCAGGTTGATGCTGGGGTGGCCATAAGTGTGCCACTGCCCTCCAGCTTGGGCGACAAAGTGAGACTCCGACTCAAAAAAAAAGACATATACACCACCAATGGGACAGAAATAAGTTCTCACATACAGTCATGATGTTTGGCCAGAGTGCCAAGACCACTGACTGGGGAAAGAATAGTCTTTTCAACAGAGGTGCTGAGAAACCTAGATATTCACTGGCAAAGTATGAAACTGGACCCTCATATAATACCATATGTGAAAATTAACTCAAAATGGATCAAAGACCTAAATGTAAGAGCGAAAGCTTGGGCAACTCCCTCAGGTCCCCTCCCACTGTGGGAGCTTTTCTGTCCTCTCAATAAATCCTGCTTTCAAAACAAAACAAAAAAAGAGCTAAAGCTATAAAACTCTAAGGAAAAAACACAGGCAAAGTCTTCATGACACTGAATTTAGCAGTAATTTCTTGGCTATGAGACCAAGGCACAGGCAAGCAAATAATAGCAACCACAAAATGGATACACTGAATTTCATCAAAATTGAAAACTTTCTCCATCAAAGGATGCTATTCAACAGAGTGAAAAAGCAACACAATGAAACAGACAATATCTGCAAGTCATACAGCTGAAAAATGGCTAATGAACTCCTACAATTCAACAACAAAACTTGATTCAAAAATAAACGACTTGACTAGACAGTGCCCCATAAAAAATAAACAAATGGTCAAAAACATGAAAAGATGCTCAAAATGACATTCAATAGAAACCACAAAGGAATACCACTTCACAACTAAAAAAAAACCCCAGAAAATAAGCATTCGCAAGAATGTGAAGAGATTGGAACCTTTGTCCATTACTGGTAGAAATGTGAAATGGAGCTGCTACCGTGGAAAGCAGTGTGGCTAAAAAGGAAACACTGAATTACCACATAATCAGCAATTCCACTTCTGGGTATATACCAAAAAGAAGTGCAAAAAGGGACTCGAACAGATCAGTGTACACCCAGGCTCATGGCAGAACTTTTCACATTAGCCAAAAGTAGAAGAAACTCAAGTGTCTCTTGGTTTTCACTCACGTATCAGCACACATACCATGTGATATATATGCTCGATGGAATGTTATTCAGCCCCTAAATAGAAGGTGGCTCAGCCTGCAATCCCGCACCTTTGAGAGGCTGAGGTGAATGGATTGCCTGAGCCTGCAGGTTCGAGACCCGCCTGGGCAGCGAGACCTCATCTCTACAATAAATCAAAAAATCAGCCGGGCGTGGTAGCACATACCTGTAATTCCGGCTACTTGGAAGGCTGAGGCAGAAGGGTCGCCAGAGCCCAGCAAGTCGAGGCTGTGGTGGCCGGGAGCAGCCACTGCACTCCAGTCTGGGTGACGGAGTGAGACTTCAACCAAAAAAAAAAAAATTACAAGTTTAAAAATTAACCAACAGAGGAGGCAGGGACAGTAGCAGGGAGATCAGTCAGAGAATTCTGTAATAATCAGGTAGAAAACGATATGCTTGAATCAAAGTGGTAGAAGAGTTAGTAGTAATACCTAGAAGCAATTTGATTATATTTTGGAATATATCCTAAACTAAAATCAACAGAATTTTCCTAGTGAATCTGGAATGTGATAGGAAAAGATGGATCAAGACAGTGTAGCCGGGCACGGTGGCTCACGCCATAATCCCAGCATTTTGGGAGGCTGAGGTGGGAAATCACTTGAGGCCAGGAGTTCGAGACCAGCCTGAGCAACAGAGCAAGATTTCATCTCCACAAATAAATAAACAAAATAGAAATTAAAAAATAGTTTCAAAATGTTTTACCTGAGCACTGGAAGACTGGACTCGCCACCTAAAACAGGAAAAGCTGTAGGAGAGAGTTCAGAGAAGACTAAAGCCAAGAGAGCAGATGCTTCCAAGAGGAGAGAGTGATCAGACAGATCAGATGCTGCCAGAAGACGGGGACTAACAAATGCTCATTGGATTTAGTGTTGCAGGAATTGGTGGTGTGTCTTATAGAAGGCACTGGTATTACCGGGTGACCCCGGATAAGATGATTTCCTTTTTATCATAAACTAAATATCCAAGGCCAAGCATGGTGGTTCACGCCTGTCATCCCAACACTTTGGGAGGTAGAGGCGAGAGGACTGCCTGAACCCAGAGTCTGAGACCAACCCAGGCAACTTGGCGAGACCTCGTCTCTACCAAATCAAAAAATAGCTGGGCGTGGTGGCGTGCACCTGTAGTTCTAGCCACTTGGAAGGCTGAGACAGAAGGATCTCCAGAGCCCAGCAGGTCAAGTCTGCAGTGGGCGTGAGTGTGCCACTGCACTCCAGTCTGGGCAACAGAGTGAGACAACTAAAAAATTAAATTAAATTAAATGCCCAAGGACCAGGCATGGAAGTAGTCCCAGCTACTAAGGAGGCTGAGTGGGAGGAGTACCTGAGCCTAGGCGGACGATGAGCCTGCGGAGGCATAATTGTCACCACATTCCAGCCTGGGAGACAGAATGAGATCCTAACTCAACAAATAAATAAATATACATAAAACATCCAAATATATGCAGAACTGTTTATCAATTCTGGTTTGTTCCTTGGCCTTTCTGTCCATTTATTTATCAGTTGATCAGATGTTTTAGTATTGTAACTTTATATTTTAGCACCAGGTAGGGTTACCTCCTTTCATGAAATGTTTATTCTTACATGGTTTCTTCCCTCAGAGGAACTTCACAATTACCTTGCACAGTCTTTTTTCATTGCACTTTTATTCAACATATGGAATATTTAAGGCAATAGTATGGTTAAGTTTTGATAATTAGCTGCAGAGGAAAAGAGAAAGTCCCACCAACATGCAGTTACTAACTAAAGTTTTGCAAGTGGAAGATGGGATTGCTTAGGCTATAACACAGAATTACGAGAGAAAGCAGCTGGGAAGAACTCCAGCAGTCAGTGTCTGAAGGGAATAGTGTAAGCTGCCAATGGAAACCAAGAAGAAAGGGCCAATGAAGAAATGTCGGAGATGCCAGCACTGCTGAAAGGCTGAGGAAGGCGAGAGTTAAACAGCACTTACAGTGACACAGAAATCACTGAGGCCTGTGAAGGTTTGGGAGACTGGAGGGAAAGAGCTCAACTGACACGTGCTAAGGAAGAGATGGGAAGATTGAAAGGGGGCAGTAACAGCTATGGGGATGAAAACCCGGGGGAGGTTTCATTTTGCCCACAGGAAAGACCTGAGCATGGTTAAGTTCTGATGGAAGGATCCAGCACCAAAGGAGAGACGGAAGACGAAAGAGAGAGGCGATAAGGGGGCCGCATGAGGCACCTGAAGAGGGCGGAGCACTGTGCTCCGCCAGGAGAACAGACCGGGAGGGAAAGGCTGGCCACAGCCAGAGGAACTGACCCACACCCACCTTCCCCGCCAACAGGCAGGTGGAAGCAGAGGACTGAGGGAGCAGCAGCTCGGCGAGTACACAAAGATGCAGAAGGCGGAGTCCAGGGAGTCCAGGAAGTAAAAGGAACAGGCATCTTCATCTTAAAACCCACCCCTGCTGCTGAATGAGCACGTTGCTTTCAATCTGTCACTAAGAACAGAAGAGTTGGGCAAAAGTGGTCAGCACTTGGCGAAACTTCCGAATCCCTCCTGCCACGCTGCCTCAGGAAGAGTGTTTGCCACGGACACCCCCTCTAGAACTGTTCCCTTCACACTGGATGACTAGCGACATTACTTCCCCATCCTTTCTGTCCTGGCACTCATGGCTCATTTTTATTAATATTTTAAGAGGAAAGGCCGATTTTTTTTAAAGTAAGGTATGAGATTAAGGGTAATTATCCATGTATAAGCTCGAATTGGCTTCACTTAAAATATAATTCCAAACTGGGCTCAGTGGCTCAGCCTGTAATCCCACGCCTTGGGAGGCTGAAGTCAGTGAATTGCCTGAGCCCGCAGGCTCAAGACCCGCCTGGGCAACTTGGTGAGACCTCATCTCTACAATAAATCAAAAAATTAGCCGGGCGTGGTAGCACACGCCTGTAGTTCCAGCTACTTGGAAGGCTGAGGGCGGAAGGATCGCCGGAGCCCAGCAGGTCAAGGCTGCGGTGGCTGGGAGCAGCCACTGCACTCCAGTCTGGGCGACAGAGTGAGACTCCAACTCAAAAAAAAAAAAATGTGTGTGTATATATATATATATGTAATTCTTATATAATTCCAGCCATATATATATATAATTCCAGCCAGGTATGGTGGCTCACGCCTATAATCCCAGCACTTTGGGAGGCAGAAGCAAGAGGATTGCCTGAGTCCAGGGATTCGAGACCAGCCTGGGCTACATAACGAGACTTTGTCTCTACAATAAATCAAAAAAAATTTGCTGGGTATGGTGGTGTATGCCTGTAGTTCCTGAAAGGCTGAAGTAGAAGTATTGCCTGATCCCAGCAGGTCAAGTGCCGTGACCATGCCACTGCACTCCCACCTGGGCAAAAGAGTGAGACTCTGACTCAAAATAAAATAAAATAAAATATCATTCCAGCCGGGCTTGGTGGCTCAGCCTGTAATCCTGCGCCTTTGGGAGGCTGAGATGTGTGGATTGCCTGAGCCCAAGGGTTCGAGACCCACCTGGGCAACTTGGCGAGACCTCATCTCTGCAATAAATCAAAAAAAAACTAGC